TCAGTGGTTCCCAAACTTTTTTTGTTAGGCCCCCCTTTCTTTTACATGAAAAATCTCCCCCCACCACTCCGTTGTTGACGAGGAAACAGAGTTCGCTACGCCACGTCAAAGGTGTGTGCCTTTTTTCACGTCATGCTGTGCGCCACGTTATTGTTTACATGAGATGAATTTCTGCAATGGCAGATAGAGACAAAATACTGTTAATCTTACTAACTTCAGGTTTTACACGGTTACATACACACACAGTTACTGTCCCTCCATTGAGAAAGGCAGAGGCCTCACGGTGAGATTATTTTACATGTAGTTGTTTTTTTCCCTGTGTAATAATATTCAACATTGCTATCAATACATTTAAAAAATGCCTCTCTGTGCAAAAGGGCTTCAAAAACATAAACAGCTGTGGGATACTGTTTGTCCCTGATTTAAACCGGGGGACAAATCGTGGCAGGATCAGCCTGATGTTATTTGTATCCCACTGTAACTTTACTGTATACAGAGCTAACATCTCCAAAATGTCAGGAGTAGTTAGTCATTACAACAAGTGTTTGTGAACTTAAAATCAAGAATGTGGGATACTGTTTGTCCATGATTTGGAGAGCCCAGCGTGTGTACCCACGCAGGGGTAACTAATACTGTTGCAGAGAGATCTACCTCGGCAGTTGAAGCCAAAGGGAAGATATGCTTCACCATATTTCCTACTTTTTGTCTTGAAAGGAAAGGTTGGTTTGGAAACATATTCAAGAAACATATTCAATTTTGTTTTTCAACAAAACATATTCAGCGATGCTTCATCTCCTGCTTTGCGTTTGTGTGGGAGCGCTGTCAAAAACCTGTTCATTATGCAAGCAGTGTCCAACCGTTATTTTATTTTATTTTTTTTTATTTCATTTTCATACCGCCCCCCCCCCCCCCCCCCCCCCACACACACACACACACACACACACACATACTTTAGGAACCTCTGGGTCGGATGAACTTTGTAGTAAATAAGTTAATTCATCAGTTAATTGAGTGGTCCAAGTTGGTCCAACTTAAATACATTAAATGGAATGACAGAATTGCATAATGCTAAAATGAGGCATTTTAATCATTTGGCAATCCTTTCCATGATTGTTTTTTGTTTGAATGTTGAAATAAATAAATAGATTAACAAAGTAAACAAAAGCTCATCCTCAGCAAATATGCCACCATGGAGACATGGACACTGTGGGCAGCCGACTGTAGACCGCATATACTGGCATGAAATGTAGGGTATATTTGTCCACAGCGTACACAAACAGTATGCAAATGCTCTGGGTGTGGACTGCCCTACTGGAATTCCACTGCGCAGGGCCCCACTGTCTCACATGTTACGTCGATACCAAGGCCCACAGTTGGCTGCCCACCCGTGCTCCACAGTGAATACATGGTACATATAAAAGTGGACCCGACACACTGAAATGTTTTTATTACTGTGAAGCATTTATTGATGTGACCCACTCCTCCCCTGCAGCTGAGCCAAGGACCACACCTCCTCAGTACATTATTGCCACTAACTCGTATCAAACATGGAACATTGCTCCATATACCACTGAGAATGGTGGAGCTGTGTGGGGAGGCCAAACTTGCAATTATATCAAGCAGGACCCAAATAGGTGTATCTATGTTTGCACACCTACTGTAATGGAAGTGCTGATGGGTCATGGACTAACCCACATGCGAACCCACATCCCCAAAGAGGATTTTCTGTGAGCAATCTGTATTATGGAAACTCAAATTGGTAAAACAGGAAGAGCTTTCTTTCTTTTGTTTTTCACTGTTTAACTCTTACTTTCACTTACATTTTTATAAGATTGTAGGAGATATATCAGCAAATCTGCTTCCTGCAGCAAAAAATACACCAAACAACTACAAACTCTTTATGAACTTGATAAGATAACCAGAAACAAAGGAACAGTCCTCACCAACAGGTTTCTTAATTGTTGCCGCAGTGTTTATGAAACTTAAGTGTTACTTAGGAATAGGGCTGCCACAAATGATTATTTTGATAGTCGACTAGTCACCGATAATTTTTGTGATTAGTCGACTAATCAGATCCTCATCCATTGGACGTACAGCATACAGCTTATTGCACCAGCAGCATCTGCTCTTATATAACTATCATTAGCTTACAGCTTTAAGTGTTTAAGGTATGTGCTAACTAAAAATAAAGACAAGATGTTAGTTTATTAAATTTTAATGAAATCTGCAGATTGTTTTTAATAAACTCAGCCGTCTGCTCCTTACTATCTAAAATATAACTGGACACCGGAGTAAATTCTCCAGCATCTCACACTTCTGATAATCAGCTGTCTGCTTGACGTTTATTCAGCTGTGTAAAAACTACAACTTTAATCTCAGCCAAACCGATTTACTCAGGAACAAATAAAATACTGGAAAAAAAGCCAAACTATAACATTTTTAAGTTATCTAAGTGACTTATATATCATGTTTAACCTGAGTAGCGAAAGACGGCGGTGGGTTTGAAAACGATTTGCCGGGAGTCCGCTGTTCTCACGGCTCTAGTGAGCGTTAAACCCCGGCTCGCTATCGAGCTAGTGGGTAACAGACGTCTCCGAAAACGTCGGAGCGCTTTTGAAAATATGTGGTGTCTTGATAAACTGAGCAGATATTTGAGGTTTACACAGCTACATTCTCGCCTGAAAATATGTTAAACGTTTATTTTGTGATGCAGAAAGAATAATAAGAGTAATATTCAAACTAACTAGCTGCCGCCATTGTTGGAAACTGAGCTGGGCCGCGCTATGAATTCTGGGACACAGCTTCTTCTTCTTCGGGGTTTAACGGCAGCTGGCATCCTTGTACATGCAGTGCTGCCATCTTCTGTTTCAGTCCGTTTTTACACTCTTAAATCCTGCTATTATTCCTGCGTCTTTTGGATCTTACAAAGCTTCAAACGATGCGTCGACTATTACATTAGTCGTCGACGATTTTGATAGTCGACGTAATCGTGACTAGTCGACTAATCGTGGCAGCCCTACTTAGTAGCAGGCTCAAAGTTCACACTGTAAGTGAAACTATCACTGATCATTTGTACTAATTTTTCTTTAACAGTCATTCAGTGAGTTGCAGAGAGAGCAGTCAACAGGTATGTTGTCTATTAAATTTAATGTTATTATTAATGTGACGTGTAGCTTCTGTCTAAAAAACTGTTAAAACTGTTGGAGTCAAACTGGGTTTGAAGAATATGGTCCAAGTGTAAGTTGTTCTAAAGCTTTTATGTGGGTGGAAAAGGTGAATCTATGAACTAGATTTTTCTGTACCTTTACAGCAGGTGACACTACTGTAATTGTAGAAGACAGTATAGATAGACTGATCTACACCATTTAAATCAGCTGTGATGGATCAAGGACACACCTAAAACCTGCAGGGACACCGGCCCTCGTGGACTGGGATTGGGGACCCCTGATCTACACTCTGTGAAGCACTTCTATCCCCCCCCAACAAGTTAGATGACAGACAAGAATTCTTCCCAGGAATTCATTTAGTCATAATTGTACAACTTATGTTACTGAAACACAAAACAGAATTGTCCAGTCAGCAGTGGTTTCCATTGTATTAATGTTATCTGTCTGTTTTCAGAGCTGCAGGATGGCTCATCAGCAGGATGGACTGTTTCCTCAATCACTTCTCAAAGCTTTCAGTGTTCTGATCTTCATCATTCTCTCAAAGGATGTCTGTAATGGTAATTAATACATAAATTGTCACGGTCCTGGGTCGGTGACCCAGTGTTTTGAGTTTCTTGTGTCGGAGTTTTTGTATTATGATCTTAGTTCTCTTTGTTGCCTCAGTTTATTCTTTAGTCTAGTGTCTTAGTTTGGCTTTCTTGTATTCTCTTTAGATTTCTGAGTATTTAGTTAGCCGCCCTCTGTGTTTCTTAGTTGCTGTCTCCCGTAGTCAAGTCTGCATCTATGTTACATTTCCTGTTTTACTTTGAAGGTCTGTGTCCTACGTGAATGTACGGAGTTTCGCTTCCCTTGGGTCTCGTTATGTCCGATTTCTCCCAGCTGTGCTCCCTCTTCCGTGTCTCATTCCCCTCGTTATTTCCCAGTGTATTTAAGCCCTGTGTTTCTCTGTGTCAGTGTTGTAGTCTCCCTCATGCTGTGTGTTTCTCCCTGTGGCTTCCTGTGTGTGTTTTGTTAGCTTCTTCCCAGTTTAGGTTTTGTAGAGTTTTGTGTTCAGCAATAAAAGCTGCCATTTTGAGTTCAATCCTGTTTCCAATGAGTTTGCGTTTGGGTCCAATTCCTGCCTGCATACAGCTGAAACATGACATAAATAAATGTTTGGTTTCTTTCATATTTCAAGCACACATTTTAATTATTTATATTTGTGCTCTTAATGTGCCTTTATTAAGAGCCATGTTTTAAGAAGTCAAAACAACACTGGCGGGATACAAAACTGTTTTATTTTTATGAACCAACACATTTCAGTTTCTGTCAGCAGAGGTATTTAAATAGGATAGCTATATAGTATTATATTTTAACAAACACTATACACTAACAATAATGTTAATAGTTTTAGAATCAGAGAAGATGCTTGTTAGAGACATGGCCTTTAGGTTTAGTAATTTAAAAAAAATATTGTGAGATAATGCTAAAAAAATCCCTCCTTCTGGCGATTTCTTATTTAAGAATTATGATTATTTGTTTTCAGGTCAGCCTCAGTTGATTGGTCCATCTCAGGCACTGGTGGCAAGAGCTGGTGATGATGTAATTTTGCCATGTCATCTGGAACCTGCATATGATGTTTCTACAAAGACACTGGAGTGGACAAGATCTTCACTTGACCCTAGATTTGTCTACGTTTCACGTGCCAGTCAGGAAATCGAAAAACTAAAAGATCCTTCTTTCAAAGGAAGGACGTCAGTGTTTGTTAATGAACTCAAGTATGGAAATATTTCACTGAAAATCTCCAAAGTGAAATTTGATGATACAGGGACATACAAATGCTTTATTCCAGAGATGGAAAAAGAAGCTTTCGTCGAGCTAGTTGTTGGTAAGTAGCTTCTCGTCTTGTATTGTGCAGTCTTGTCCCTGGTATCATTTAAGAGCTCTTTGTTCTTGCCCATGATGGAGAGGTCGAAATGGAATAAATTGATTCTGTAGACAAATTTTTTGTTCTGGATTTTTTTGTTCAATAGTCTCTCGCCATTAAGATTAAGCTAACATAAACATTTTAGACTCTTCATTTCTTTGTAAGTGACCAAATTTATGAATTCAGAACTCTATTAGCTTAACAGGTACACAAGTATATTTTTGAATCTTATAATATCATTAATGCCCATTGACTTTGAAATGTCATGTTTTCTTTTGCTCAGCATCAGATGCTGCCACCTCACCTGTCATCGGTTTATCAGGGATTGACAAAAACAGAGGGGGAGTGGTGTTACAGTGTGAGTCTGCAGGCTGGTATCCAGAGCCTGAGCTGCTGTGGTTGGACGGTGAGGGAAACCTCCTCTCTGCTGGACCTACAGAGACCCTCAGAGGTCCTGATGACCTCTATACTGTCAGCAGCAGAGTGACTGTGGAGAAGAGACACAGCAACAACATCACCTGCAGAGTCCAACAGAAGCAAATCAGCCAGAGCAGAGAGACACACATACATGTTCCAGGTTCAACTTATATTATTGCATTTATGATATAAAGACTTTTTGAACATATGAAGTCCAGATTTCTAGTTTTTCTTTTTTTTTCTTTTTTTTTTTTTTACCATTTCAGAGGATTTCTTTGAGGTCCCATCCAGTTCTCCCTCTGTCATCATTGGTTTGGCTGTTAGTTTGGCTCTTTGCATCATGCTGTTAATTTCATCAGCTGCTGTCCTTTTATGTAGAATGAAGAAACACAGTAAGTCACTGATAAATTTTTCCTACCTCTACTATAAATCAATGTTTTCATTTTCATTCCTTCTCATTTAATTTTAATTTCAAAAAGAGAACAACAGAAGCCCAGAGGATCAGACTGACGGGGAAGGTGCTGACGTTCCTCTGAGAAAGACAGAGAGAGAGAAAGAAAATACCAGCAGCTCTTCTCCCAAAACTAAGAATAAGACTTCATGCGTGAGTAGATAAACACGAACAAATTAAATATCAAGATGTTCATTGTTTTTCAGAAATGAGATGAAATATTAATCCTAATTTCAAAATAAAACTATCTGAAATAATGCTTAACAGAAAAAAGAAAAAAAACTGCACACGGTTACCACACAGACATTATGTGCATTATGAGCATTTACTAAGTGTTAGTAGAAAGAATTCTCTATTGATGTTAAAGGAATGAAGCAGAAACAATGTGAAAACATCAGTGTGATGTCATTCATCATTATTAGATTACTGCTTCAGTAATGTCACAACAGTCTCTGTTTTGGTAAAATGTTGCTACTGATGAAATTATTTTATATAATCAAGCTTTTCCTGGACTTCACACATCACCAACAGAGACAGTAGGTGTGCTCATACATAAAAGAAACATATTGATTTAAAAATACAACCCAACAATGAAAAACAAGTTTTTCTATCTCATTGTTGTGTCTTATCTCATATGTGCAGATTTATTGATTGTGGCTTTAATCAGTGTTGTTCTCATGCTGTAATTCACATTACACTTTAAAGTAATGTGTTACATTATTTATTACCCGGAGTAAGTAATCCATTACACTGTGTGTTATATTAGTTTTGTATTACTCCATAACAAACCCCAAAATGCACCTTCCCATAATCACCATTTAACAAGAAAAACCTTAGGAGGACAATCCCACACACTGACACAAATCTTCATCCTAATAACGGCACCAGAGGTGACAAAAGTAGAGATATTCTGTACTTAAGTAGATGTACAGAGACCTGTGTTAGAAAAAGCGCCATCTTCTGTCAATTTGGTACATGACGTCATGTGGTTGGTTGTTTGCAGCTGATAGACTTACATTAGTTTATGTTGTTAGCTGTTAGGTCTGCTCTTTGCAGCCCCGCTGGTTTAGAGACTTATTCCTGTGAACAAAGGAAGACAGAGCTCGATCCATTTTAACTTGCAAGGGAAGCTGATTGGACCAGGGTCTTGGAGCTGCAAGCTCCTCACCTGATCCCTGACACTCCAAAGAGCCAGCCTCCCCTGCAGCCTTTTATTAACTTTGTGGTCACACAAACATCTCATTAATCATGCAACAGATAAAACACTCACATGTGAACATGTGTCATGTGCATCTGCAACAGACAACATCTGATGTGTGTGTCTCTATGAGCATGTCTTTTGATCAGTGATATGCGTGTGTGTCTGTGTAGGAAACAGAAGTCAGTATTCATCCTAAAGATGTAATCACTCTGCTAAAGATCTAATGATCTTACACAATGACAATCATATTGATCCACAATTCTCTAACATTAGCTAACTAGTGAGAGAATCGAGAACTGAGAGGAAAACAACTACAGTAAAACTAAAAATCAGTTTATTTGACTACATTTGTGCTGTTTGTTTTTTGTCTAGCTGCACTCAAACGTTTGGGTTTTTAAAGCACTTTATAAATGAGCACTGTGTGGAGGAGAGCAACTCTGAGTCACGTGACCAACACAAACTGATTTTTCCTCTTCTGGCCGAGTGTACCAAGCTGTGCAACCAGCGCTGATGGCAGCACTGATGGCAGCACATCAGCGCTGTTTTACAACATAACGGCTGCTACATGCACATCACAGCACAAATATAAGTAAGTTTCTTACTGAAGCACGATCAGGAATCGGGAATCCCATCAAAGTAGGTCAATGTGTTGCAAGGAAAAAGCAGATGCTCAGATGAAGAGATGCCACACTAGGGGTTCACTTTAACCTCTGACTTTGGCACATGTTCTGAAAATATAATTAGTCAAAAGTACAGATATTTATTTAAAAATGTGAGTACAAGTAAAAGGATCTCGTAAAGATACTGAAAAATTATACTGAAGTACAGTAACAAAGTATTTGTACTTTGTTTGTCTGCCATCTCTTAGAGGCCAATAACTTGGACGTCGGAACTTCCGGAGGAACAAAAGAGGAGGGAGAAAGTTGAAAAGAATCTGCAGGACATTAAAGAAGAGGTTTGTATTTGTTATTTGGTATATATTTGTCATGTGTGTGAGTGTGTCCCCATTAAATGAATCTTTATCTCTGTATTGTAGTTATGAAGGAGATTATTTTGTTTATTTTGTAACAAATGTCTAAAAAAGTAACTGTTTCTATATATTAAACAAACTTATAATCCACGTTGAAATTCAAAGAAAGGACTGGCTTACAGAAATGTGTCAGAATTAAATGGAATCGCCAGTTTATTGTCATTCGGAACAGTTAGTGCACAACAGAATGAAATTCCAGTGCATTTACTCATCATCAAATATAAAAATAAATAAATAAAATGAATGTCTAAAGGTATAAAATGCAAGAAAGATCCATGTGAGAATAAAAAATATGAAATATTTTAGTTTATTAGTAAGGAAATTAATAAGGAAAAGCTGCGCAGGATCTTAAATATATTGAACATCAACAAAAGCAGCAGAAAAGTGCACAATCATCGTTCAGCCATGAACTGACACTGCTGTAAATATACAGTCATGGGGGACAGAGGGGAGGGGGGAGGCAGTCAGGGTGGGTGGTTGGTGTGCTGATGGTTGGAGAATGAAATTACTGTAACATCTGGCTGTCCTGGTCCTGATGCTGCTAAACCTCTTTCCAGAGGGCAGCAGGTAGAACAGTGCATGATGGGGGTGGGCGGAGTCTCTGATGATGTTATGGACTCTGCTGAGACAACATCTGTGCTCGACTTCCTGGATGGATGGAGGAGAAGTCCTGGTGATCTTCTCTGCAGTGATCTCCTCTCTGAGGCCCTGAAGCTGTAAAACCAGATGCAGACACAGCTGCTCAGCACACTTTGATGCTGCCTCAGTAGAAAGTGGAGATGCTGGAGGAGAAAGTTGTGCTCTCCTCATCCAAAATGCAAAGCGCAGACACTGCTGAGACTGTTCAACCAGTGCTGTTTAATGACTAGTCCAGACTGTCAGTTATCTAAGGAAGTTGCCTACACATGGCACTGTGGCATGTTGGTTAACACCATTTCCAAGAAGCAAGCAGGTCTTGGGTTCAAATCCCCCATCTTGACTGGATTTGCGTGTTCTCCCCGTGTCTGCAGGGATTCCCACCACAGTCCAAAGACATGTTAGTGGTGTTAGGTTAACAGATGATTCTAAATTGCCCATAGATGTGATGGTTGTCTGTCTCTGTCTTTATTGAGGAGTAATAGGTCAGGGCTAGTTATTTTAGGTTCAGCAGCTAACAAGAGGGTGTGTTGGTCAGAACACAGGAAAGAGGACACGAGGCTTCCACATTGCTGAACTGTCACAGTCAGCTGGTTTATTGTCACCTCAAAGCTCAATGTTGCCAATAGTCTATAGTTACAGCAACAGTGGTTCAACTAATATAAACTCAAAATATAAAGTAAGATAAAGTTATGCATCCTTCTATGCATATAACGTCCATGACATAATATATAAAAACTCAAGTTATGTAAATATTACATCACTAGGTTCAAACACACAGAGAACTCAGATTAAACACGGTGGTGATGTCATACTACAAACAGAGACATTCAGCGGCTATACAGCTTTAATGTGACTATAACTATCATTAAAGGCGCCATCGTGTGGCTGAATGAAATTACTACACTATGGCAACAGTTGGCGGCACAAGCCTTTAATCACCACATGAAATTGCGCCGCTATGACTCGGTAGGAAGTAATTCAAGCCGCGGCAAAACTTGAGTTTGCAACTAAACAAATTAAAGGTAACTTACGTTCAGACATTACCTTAACATTCGGAGCATCACTGTTAAGGATTGCAAACAGGAGTGTAGTTTACAGGATGAGGTGATAACAAGCTGACCCAGAAGTACTATCTCTCCCAGCGTAGCACATCAAACTTATGCCAGCGTCATTTCCTATAACCTCATTCGTAACAATATTTTAGGAACATAAAATCTCAGAGCCTTTCATAGAGTGTTAGCCCTGCGATAGACTGGTGACCTCTCCAGGGTCTCAATTTATTTACAAATACTTGTTCATGTATTAGTTTTTATATATCATTCTGTTATATTTACTTAATACAGCTTTTATTTACAGCTTTAATGTGACTCTGGTTGTGTTATCATTATTGTCTGTTAAACATGAACATGAACAAGCTTTAATTTCACTCCGGATGTTTTTTCATTATTGTTTCTGAAATATGAACATTTCTTCCTTCTGCTCTTTCTTCATGTAACATTTTACATGAATACTGAAATCATCAATCAGCTCCAGCAGGAGAAAGAAACAGCAGAGGACCTGAAGACGAAGCTGGAGGACAAAAATCGTGAGGTTTGTGTTTCCATTATAAACATTCAGAATTTACTGACCCAGCTCTGTTTATCTCTGTATTGTAAAGAGTTATGAAGGAAACTTTAGATATTATTTTGTTTATTTCACAACAAATGTCTATTATATTAAAGATCAAATTGCACTAAGTGGAAGTGATATTTAAAGCTTCTTTTTATTGTTAAGTTTGATGTGATTAACTGTGTGTGAAGAGACAAAGACAATAGTGAGAATATTGCACATGTTCATTTCATTAAAGATACAGGATCCTTTAAAAGCTGTGGCTATGTTTAACTTCATCATTATTCTACAAACCTTAAACTGACAGTAACAATAAATGTGCTGATTTTAGAGAATTCGAGTCTGCTATTATTTTTGTTTATTTGTTTGGTGGTTCCAGGTCATAAGCTGGACCAGAGTAGTGCAAACCTTCAGTAACTGCATTCAAATAAAATGCTGAAGAAATAACATTTTTTGGTCATGTTTGATGTTGAGCTACGTGCTATTGAATTAAATTCTAAAGGCTGTCCTCGTACGTATCATTAACTCTGAGACTGTGGCTGACTTCATTACCGCCTTTTTAAACTCTGCCTTTTTTTGATCCAGATTGTACAGATAATAACTTTTTCACACCTCCTTTGGTTGATGATTTTTCCAACGCTATGTTATCTGTTATCCACCTGTTGTTCCATCTTGGATACTGTGGCCCCTATAAAGATGAAATGTCCCAGAACTTCTCATCAACCATGGCTAAATGGCACTATACGAGCCTTATGTCGTGTCTGCCGTCAATCTGAAAGGAGGTGGAAAAAAGACAGGGTTCAGATATCCTATGACATTCTTTGTAGGAATACCAGAACTCTGTAAAGGCAGCTAAAGCAGCTTTCCTATCAGATATTATTGAGACTAATAGCCACAACCCTCGAATGTTATTCAAAATTTTTAATTCAGTGATAAATCCCTGTCCGGACTCTTTGAGCTCGGCCTCCCAGGCTCTCTGTGAGCAATTTCTTAATCATTTTACTGGAAAAGTTTTATTACTGAAGGCTTCACACTCTCACTCACTTGTGTTGAATCCTGTTCCGGTTTTAGGATGCTTGTCCACCTTTTCTCACTTTGAGCTGCTATCACTCCCCACTCTTAAGGGAATAATTGAAAAATTAAGAAACTGAAATTCTGTGCATGATATCCTTCCTTCCCGTTTTATCAAGGAAGGTTTTGAGGAAACTGGGTCTTACATCTTTTAATGAATTTATCATTGTTTGTGGGCTGTGTCCCGACTGCTTTTAAACATGCGGTAGTGCACCCTATTCTGAAAAAAAAAGTAATTTCGATCAGAAAGACCCTGCAAATTATAGGCCAATCTCTTCCGTATTTATCAAAAATTTTGGAGAAAGCCGTCTTTCTCCAAATACATGCTTACTTAGTTGCAAATAATATTACTGACAAATACCAGTCTGGCTTTAAGCCACACCATACAGTGGGGCAAAAAAGTATTTAGTCAGCCACCAATTGTGCAAGTTCCCCCACTTAAAATGATGACAGAGGTCAGTAATTTGCACCAGAGGTACACTTCAACTGTGAGAGACAGAATGTGAAAAAAAAATCCATGAATTCACATGGTAGGATTTGTAAAGAATTTATTCGTAAATTAGGGTGGAAAATAAGTATTTGGTCACCTCAAACAAGGAAAATCTCTGGCTCTCACAGACCTGTAACGTCTTCTGTAAGAAGCTTTTCTGTCCCCCACTCGTTACCTGTATGAATGGCACCTGTTTGAACTCATCATCTGTATAAAAGACACCTGTCCACAGCCTCAAACAGTCAGACTCCAAACTCCGCCATGGCCAAGACCAAAGAGCTTTCGAAGGACACCAGGAAAAGTATTGTAGACCTGCACCAGACTGGGAAGAGTGAATCTACAATAGGCAAGCAGCTTGGTGTGAAAAAATCAACTGTGGGAGCAAT